GTGTATTCATTAATTTTCATTTTCATGTAGTAAAGGCTCTATGCCTTCATAAAGGACGTACTTTTCCTTTGTTTAAGGGTATTTGGGCAGTTTATTCTCTGTTATATTCTCAAGTAAACAATACATACAAGTACAGTACAGTATTTTCTGAGGAAACACTCGTACTTATTTTTTTAACTCTATTTCCGATAACCCAGCATTTTCACAAACGGCCACCCTTCGGTCCACATTAGGCCGAGTTTACGAGGTTCTACAATTTGGAATAATTAATAAAACATAACCTAATAAGGTTATAAAACTTTTACATCCTGTAAAACTGCTCTGCCACGTAGCACTTTTTCAATAACTGAGGATGTTTTGCTTCCTTCCTCCGCACCTCGTATCTTAGAATTTTGCACACCACCTGCTCAAATGTCACAACTTTTCTGATTATAATGACTGGGCAGAAAAGGTAGATAAAAGGGCAGGTTTCCATACACTCGGGGCGTTCGTCACCAATTGCCATACGACCGGCAGTTGTTCCCAACATTGCCATACAGAGAAGTTCGTTCAGAAATTGCCATAGTGAGCGCTCCGACTCCAATGACCGAACCTGTCCCTACTCCACTCTACGGGAAGAGAACAACAAGCTATCTTCAACATGAACAACGAGGTAATATGAATATTGTAAAACTCTCTCTCTCAGTAGGAAAGATAGATCCTAGTCTCGCGATAGGATATAAGTCATGTATTTTTCATGTTTTACATCTGTATTTATATTAGTTGCTAGTATTATTGTTAATTATAATCAAATTATCAACTTCTATATAATAACCTCCCTAGTATTAAGTTAGACATATGTTTTATGTTTTGTTGTTCTATTATTTGTATTTGTTATTTTGTTCTTCTCTAATTAAATTGTTGATTTTATATTATACTACTTCATAGTTTGGTATTCATTACTTATGCACAACCCACACAGAATCTTACCACTCGGATTCTGTTAAAAATTAAGCCATCCAGTGACAAGGTGAGCAGGTCTAACAGATCTGACGATTAGAGGGCCTGGACCCTCGTCCGTATTCTCACAATAGTAAAAATGACTGGTGCCTTTGTTTGACCAAAGAGTACCTTATAAACTTTTAACTTTAGCCCAGATCTTATTCCTGCTACCTTTTAATTACCGCAGGCATTTTATACAAACTTTTTACCAACTTCGCTCAATTTAGTTAAGTTTCCAAACAGTGGTTTTTCCCCTGCTGTTATAACTGTTCCAAAAAAAAAGCATAAACTTCTACCAGACCATTACTATGTCTCCTGCTGTACTAAAAATTCTTGAAATTTGAATTTACCGTAAGATCTACTATCTGATTAAATTAAAACTCTTGCCTATCTAACACTGCTGTCTCCGTCATCATTCAACCACTATCAATTTACTTGAAACTTTATCCTTAATAGTTAAACCTGGTTGGAACAATGTAAATAATACATAACACCTTCGAATCCAATTAAGACCGTGCTCTGTACAGAAAGAACGAGCCATTCGTTAAACAAAGTTCATCAAATTAGTGATAGTGCCGGATTACAGAGAGTTTATAGTTTTAAAGCTTCCATAAACGCAATAAATGACTTGAGTATCCCTTTCGGTACTGATTGTTTTAGGAGGCATGTGGGCAATTAATATGGCATCAATAGAAATTAGACCCAAGTAAACAGAAAAAAAGGGTGTATGTAAACGGAAGCGCATAGGCTATCACAAGGGGCGTATGACGGATAATTGAGATATCAGATTAGAAAGTGAATGGTGTAATTTATTCTTGGCAGAAGCTGTTTTAATTAGTAGTTTGAAACCTAAATTTCAGATATCTGTTTCAATTCAGATGTTCAAATATCAAGTTGAAATTTAAATCAATTTGACATAGTCGTGTTTTTTTTTCGTTTCTTTAAACGTACTGATGGAGCTTGAATGTAATAAACAAAAGTATTTATTAATTGTTTTATTTTCAATTTACGTATCGTCCGTTATGTGAGACTAATTTATGAAATTTATGATAGTCCTAACGAGTTTCAGCATTTACTTAAATTTACTTAAAGTATTTTTCTTAAACGATGTCTATTGAGATATTCAGTAGTCCAAATGGAAGTAAATACAAGAAATCAGGTATGGTGACATTCTGCGACATGTGTAAGACGTTTTCGTAGAACAATCAAGCACTAGAGCCTGCCACTATTGCGCTTTTGATCCTACAAACAGCAAAACAAAAAAATCAATGCTATCAATATTTGTGAGGATACTTAATTGTTGTCTATGTAGACAAATTTGTGAGGATACTTAATTGTTGTTTATGTAGACAAATTTTAAGTTTGGAAAACTGAAAAAAACAGATCCTATATTTAAATTTTATCTTCTGAACAGAGACAATACAATCCTGCATATATTATGTCTGTATAGTATGTGTGCCTTATATAAATTAAAAATGTGTGTTGTTGCAGTGCTATAATAGAAGTTTTTGTACTAATGGTTTTTATGGAAATGTTTTTGCATGTCCTGAAATAACATCATAATAAATTTGATTAGGTTCGGACTGCTAAACATCTTTCTAAACAATGTATAATTGCTATCACTGAATACTTTCTGTTTATTATTACACCGTTTTCAAGTCGTTAACATATGTTAGTTTTTATTAAATTTGTATTTAGAAATTTCAATATGAGTATAACGAATCTAAAACTAGATGCACCAAATAAATTATGTAAAAATAATTATATATATTAGTAAAACGTCTAACTTATGAACAAACGTGTTCAATCATCTTAAATTATCATCATCATCTTAGCATCTTACTTTACTTTATGGAATATTTGTTTGCATTTGATTCGCTTGAACTTAGAGCTTTTATTCTGAGTATAGTCACTGAGAATAATGAAAAAAATTCGTATTTTAAAGGTGTTCCTGATAAATGCGATTGTATATTTATTCGAAAGTAATACAAAAGAAATTTTGCCTGTAAACTTTTTATGTATTCAGTGAATTTAAGATAAATTATAATAAATTTATAGAAATATATTTAATATAGTAAAATTCTTATTTAAAGAGATAACAACAATATAAACTTTTAAGCTGGCTTCTAAAAATTAATTACTTTAAAAAATTATAAACTTACCTGATTCGTAAGTTGTTATTGAATAAATTATAATTTTGTAGTTTACTATCGACATGATAATTTTCTCGAAAAGATTTTATTTTAAGATATCCTTTATTTCTTCTTGCTTCACACATTAATCTCCCATCCGGGTAAGATGGTCTTAACTCTATGTCTTGGACGTTATACATAAAATTACGTTTATAGTTCTCGGGAAAGGAATAATTCTCTATTGACTCCAAGTAATACGTGTTAGAACCGTGCTGAAAAATTCCTATAAATGTATCGTAGGAATTTTTGTTAGTTGCAAATTGATGTTCGTAGAAATAACCAATAATTAATGCTTCGCTTTTTCCTTCCAAGTTTCCTTGGTATATAGACGTTCCAGATATCTCTGGAAGATTATATTTTTGAATTTGATGGAGTCCGTAGTAAAATACTTTAGCTGATGCAAGAAACTTCGATTTATCTTTTTGTAGTCGAAACTTGTATGCTCTCCTCTGTGCCTTCATAATCATTCCTTCAGGAGTGACTTTATTGAATAGTTTTTACGTTTCTTATCTGATAATTACTTGTTTTAATAACAGATTCTTCATCAGCCATAATTCGAAAAACCATCAATATTAAAGATAAAATGAATAAATTTCCACCCATTATGAAAAATTGTCAACGAATCCACTTGTGTTCGAATGTGTTCATGCTTCGAATCGAACGTTTTCAAAAACTATTTCGAATACGCAATTTTAAATTTTTAAAACTTCGAATAATTAAAAAAATACTGCATTTATTTAAAGCATTTATAAAAGTTTATTAACGCAGATTTCTATGAAATAAATCTGTTAAAATGTAGAGTGAAGCATTTATATTACAAAAATAAAAAAGAAAATTCATAGTGTCTCTTCACATTGTGAGATCATGGTTCGAACCATTGTCGAAATTTGATCCCCGAAACAAGGAATTCGAAATGAGAAAGAAATGTATTTTCCAGTACTCGGCTCTTGTTTTAAACAATGTAAATCTTGAGATCGATCGTATCTGGTTGGGATCGGAACTCGGTATCAAACTCGCCCGCGGTTCGAGTCAGTCTCCAGATAATCCTGGAAACATATAAGAAGCCAATCGGGAAGTGAAGACGACGGACAGTCAATCGGGACGTACGATCGAGCAACAAATCCTAAGGGTCTGTTTTTCAATAAACGGTCTTACTGAATGACCGTACCAAATACAGACGTACTTACGTGATTCATTCTGTCGCGCTGTTCAATAAAAAATTTTTCTTCGGCAGAATTTCTGCCTTTTGAATAAACGTATCGATATCGGGTTATGACGAAAGTCACATGGACCTACCTCACACTGGTATCAGGAGTAAGATCGCAATAAATTTGCAAGCCTACCAAAAATTTTGTGCAACCTGATATGATAACACGCAATTAAAATTTGCCCTGTTTATTCGACTGAAAACAGTGGGTCTGTGACAAAAATAGCTACAGAGACAGAAGCTGAGGCGACTCAACGCCATTTTACCGGATAGATCGCGACCTCCGCCGGTATGATTCCCAGGTTTTCTAGGAAATTGGGACGCATTATGGATTTTTTGACGCTTTAGACAGTGTTGACAAACACTTCGGCCGGCTGGACACTAAAACAACCTACCAAAGAATGATGAAGATTAATTAATCTTTCTTCCTCGGTAGTCTTTTATACTACAGCAAGTCGAGTAAATGACGAGTCTGCTATAAAGCAGTTTTCGACTACAAATAAGGTGGCTCCTTTAGGGAGGACAGTCTTCCTTTTGTAAGTTCTGTCCTCCCTCGAAAAGTGTCCTCCTTTTTGATATTTGAAGACTAATCTGTAAATCTCCGTATTCGATCAATGCCGAACAGATCCGTTGCGTGTGATGTGATATTACGTGTTTGTATTTAACGTGATAATTCATCAAGGCAACTAGATTCAATTATGAGACAGACGCTTGTCACACGGGAGACCTTGAGAGAGAGAGAGCGCACGCGAAAATGGCTTTGTTTACTTCTTATCGAAACACGACATGACACCTATGCATTCAGCAGAGATTATTATAGCGTATTATTGTTGCAATGAATAAAATGTTTTTTATTTACGATATTTTTTCCTTCAATTTGTTAGTGTCCTCCTTTTCATTGTAAAAAAGTTGGTCACCTTACTATAAAGAACATGCATACTGTTAGGACTGAACAAAGCGCCGCTAGAGAAAAACAGAAAAACGGTTGGTTTACGCGGGAAGACTCTGCAGGTGAGTTATGTCGATCCATCACCCTTAATATATATTAAATATCAAAGGTAACCTAATGCTTTGGGTTTTCGTCGTATCTAATTTTAATTTACGAAACTAGTAGTGTTACAACATTTGGCCGATAAGACTTTAGTGACATACCGCGCGTAGAAAGTACGCGCGGGAGGCATCGCTCTCGCCTTACGTTGCATAATTTAGCCCTAATGGCTGAATTTTGTAATAGTTGTCCAACAAAGTGGCGACATAATGTTTTATCGTTGACTTTCGATAGTCAACGATAAAACATTATGTCGAAATTGTATACTCAGGACAGTACTATACTGTACGTAGGTCTATACCAAATTTGATTGAGATTTTCCCGAAAGTACTTTCTGCAGAGTGCTCTGACAAGCTACTTTTTAATTATGATCATCCTGTGTAATAAATTGACTTGATATTAATCGATGTGTTATACTACAACTCTATTTGGATATGAATCTAATTATTTTAATTACATCTTTAAATCCACTACATATATTAGGAATATCTTTTATAAGTAAAATAACACTCTAAAAAGAAACTTTCATAAGAAAGTGATAATGTTTATATGATAAAGAATTTTCTAGAGATACAAGAGCATTATGATAAGTTTTATGTAATGATATTTGTAATTGTTGCAGTGTAATTGTTCTTATCTAGGGCTATCATTATTCTTATGTTTTGGTTAGTAATCTATAGTCCACAAGGACTTATAGATTGTATTCAAAAAAATAAAACAGAACGTTTCTTGATAAATTTCGCAACATTAATGTAGCTTTTAACATATTTTATAGTACAATCAATTAGTGCAGAAGCGATCAACATCTCATAACGAGTAATTTGCATAACGAGCAGAACAAATTGTAAAAATGACTCACTTAACGAGCGACATTTCGCATAAACAAGGGAGGAGGAGATGGAAAGTTTGATTGAGGGCATGCTACTTCAGTCGGTGTTTAGCACTCGTTCCGCCAGCATCTTAGGGTAGCTTGTGATCACACATTTTCCAAACTTGTGTTCAGACCTTTACATATAAATATCAACAACCCTAGCCCTTTATATAATTGTGAGATCCGACCCGTGTGCAACCCAATTTTTTTCTTTCTTCTAAATTTTAACCAACTTTAACATATTTTGAATAAATTTATATAAATAAATTGAACAAATTTATCACCTTACTGTGGAAAAAAAAAACCCTCGTCAGAGAAAGAAATCAACTACTGTATCTCACTTATATAACCATATCAAGTATCAAGTTACAACTCTCTCCTTTAACGTAAACATTCGACCATCTAACAATAGCAGTCGTCTGCAAGTCTTAATGTTTACGATTGAAGTCCAACTTCGACGATTTATTGCAGCCCGGGACCACCTTTAACCCCACACCTGCTAAAACAATTGGTCACATGACTAATTTTCCCATCAAAAAAAAGTATAAAAGGCGTCCTTCTTCCCCTCTCGGGGAGTCGCCAATCGAACGAACAACGACGAAGTCGGACATCGAAGTCTTCCCCATCGCAGACCTCCTCCACCTTGTGCCACACCTCGCACCGCCTTTCAGAAATTTAAGTCAGAAGTATCCATCCGATATTATCTCAGAGGTATGAAATATTATTGTGAACTCTCTCTCTCATCCGCGAAGTTGAAGGATTTTTGTGTAAATTTTCTTTAGTTAGTTAGTTTAATAAACTCTTATTTTTGTTTTTAAGTGGTGTCGTTACTCGACTTTGCCAACGTCTTATCGTCGACCCCTTTGACTCTCCTCCACTCGCGTAACGCGTAACTGAACGTAAAAGCCATCCTTGACAAGAAAGTAGGTCACCGACCAGTGGCCAGCTAGGAGAGGCTTTACCAACCTCCCCTGCGGCTCACATAATAAAAATAAACACGCCAAACGATATGCCAAATTCTTGGGCTATGTAAAGGTTATAATTAAATATTAGAAATTAAATAATTTGACTAAAGGTAGGCAGTTATGCTACCATCTCGTATTAAATTTAATGACCAATTTCAAATTAAATTCCAGAAATGCCTAAATAATTTTCTTTGAATAAACGTTATACATAAAATATTTGAGTCTTTTTTCGGCATGAAACGCATTATCGTGTTTTACATTAATTTATATGTGAAAAATTGTTTAGCTTAACGAATGTTTCGCGTTGCGAGTAAGATTTCGAAACGAATTATGCTCGTTAAGCGTGGATCCACTGTATTATGCATTGCTGGTAGTGCCAACACATCTTATAAAGAACCAGAAATAAGATGCCGATATACTTATACATGAACACAAGCCTAGCAGAATATGGAACTAAACAGGAATGTATTTAATAATGGATTTGAACCAGTTTGAATAAAATTCAACTGTTACAGGTCTGTATAGACTCCAGGTTAACTTTTGTTTGAGAGACAATACACAACTTGCGTAGCAATAATTTTCTGTCCCTGCCACTTCTGAACTTTGGACAGGTTTTGTTACAACGTTTAAATAGTTGTTTACGTTTTTAGCACAGTTAGATTAAAAAGAGTTATTCCCATTGTGTACAGTACATACATATTTATTATCTTATATCAATATATTCAATTTCGTTTGGTTTCAATAGGCATCCGGTGCTTATAAATTTATTCGTTTGTTCCATATATGTTTATTTAACGCGGTTTTTATACTATTTTTTGTGTTTAATTATTTAAAATTTACGTGATATCATTAATTTTTAAATTAATCGTTCACTGTGTAAAAATCCCTTGCATTTAAATTTAAACATTATTGCGTTCTTATTCCAATTCGTTCGTTTGTCTTATGATGATTTAATTATCGAGAATGCTTGAGGCAAATTTGCTGAAATGTTCTAGTATATAAAATTGAATATAAATAATCAATTTTCTAAACTTGGATAATTTTTTGGTGTTTTTAAGGAATGTTTCAACTGGACGGTCGAGTAGCATATAAAAAAAAGTCTGGTCGTCTAAAGGTTTATTCTATAACACGTAATAAAATGGTGGTTTTCAAAAGAATTTTTGGAACGACTGTGTCTTTATCTTTATTTACAAACAATATATATATAAATAATCACTTATAAAACAAAATCTTTCTCCAGCTGCACTGACGAAATAACCAGAATATGTTTCCTGGTGTCACATCAAGAAATTTAAATTTCTGCAACAATTTATTTTAACAAATTTATACTTACCGGCATTTATACCAAACTTGCGTACTACTTTACATTTGCATGATTAAATAAAATTGCTTTGTTTTAACAATGTTAACTGAAATTTTTTGTTTATTTTATATTTATTATTTACACGAAATATTGTTGAACGTTTACTTATTTTATAAATATAAATTTAAATATAATATTATGTAATTTTTCGAGATTTCAAGAAACTCACAGCTGAATATAAAGAAAATTCAAGTTTCTTTTATTATTTTTATCACTCAAACATTATAGAATACAATTACATATAAAAGTGAAAGGGTATTTAATTCAAGTGTTCAATATCTCTTTATGCTGTCGTATATTACTCAAATGTTGTAAAGTTCAAGAAATGGACTTTAGGTTCTAATACATTATTCTTTATCTTATTTATTTTCCTTTTGGGTTTCTTTTTTACTTTTAGTTTCATTTCGGGATTTTCTTGCTTCTCTCTTAAACGATGCTTTTTCGTAATTTTCCGTTTAGGTTTCCTTACTTTCCGTTTCATTTCGGGTTTTCCTTCCTTCTTTCTTAAAGGATACTTTTTCATTAATATCTCTATACTCGGTCTTTCGTGTTGATGACTTTGGAAACAACTTATGCCAATAACAATAATTAGTAAGAACGGTAAAGGAGTAAGATAATTCCAAATGCTATACATCTTCCAGATAGTTTTACGTATACAGGATCCATTCCTAGAAGGTAATATATGACTAATAAATAGCAAAAAAAAATTTTAAAATATATACTTAATTTTAATTAAAAAGATAGACAGTATATTCACAATGTAAAATATATATATATAAGAAACTAAGTCAGGAGACCTATCGAGTAGGGACAAGATAATTCAGGTTTCCACTCGTCAGAACATGCTTTCCGGAATGGGTCGGTTAGCGTGAATCATCCTGGACAAATTGAGAAAGGCACGCCAACGAGGCGCATTCGCAGGAAAGCTACCGACTCAGCCCGGATTGGTCGACCAACGACCCTCGAAATTAAATATAAGGCAACGCGATCGTTGTTACAAACAGAAACAAGCCTGGCCTAACGCTTAGTTCACACTAAGCGCGATTCGCTGGCGAAAGCGAAAAACAGAGCGAATAACTCGTCAAATGAGTCTTGTTTGACGAGTTCTTCGCTCTGTTTTTCACTTTTGCCAGCGAATCGCGCTTAGTGTGAACTAAGCTTAAGACTGTGTTGTTAGAAATATTGCTGTATATATATTGTAAATAATTATCAAATAAACGTACTTAAACTGAGTTCAAGGAGTCGTAAAGTGTTCTTTGTGACAGACCACAGATCAAGAAATTGGAAGGCTCCGAAATTTACTGTCATCTTTCTTATGTAATTATGTATTCTTAAATTGTTTTGGCCTATCATCAGTGAACTTTTAAAACTGTTTTACATAATTCTGCTTAGGCGTAGCCTCTAATAAAAAATCGTTTCTGCTAAGGAAGATAGTTTTTGTTCTTGATGATTGGATAGGACAGTAAGAAAGACGATTTAGTTTTTTTGTTTGTTTTCTTTTAATATTCTGAATACAGTATAACTATGCTTTTTAAATTGAAAATTACGTGAAAAACAATTCATTGTTTACGATCTTATACAATAAATAGTAATGTTTTTATACAGGTTAAATTGGATATTCTTGTATAGGGTGGAGTAGACTAAAATTGTGATAAAATTACAATGCATGTAGTAAAGTTATTAATAAAATATCACATATCACTGTGCTGATTTTGCTTACTGTATTTCGATGACAGATGATTTCCGTGCCTGGTAACCTGATAGCCAGAGCGAAAGGGGCAAAGTGCTCTGCTACTGAAACCTATCACTCTATTCATTCAAAATATACTCACATCTTAATACTACTAAACTAACACGTCTTATTTTGTTCCTACGTAAGGATTTAGTTTGTACTAATTCCTTTACGAATAGCGTGTACTGTACCTAATATTATTCCCTTCTATGTTATTATTACTGTTATTATTCAGAATTTCTGCGTCCCTGAGGTCTTGTATCCTTACTCCTAAGCATAATGGCTACATGGAAAACGCAAATCTATAAATATACTAATAAGTAGCTTTGCTTACTTGTTAATATATTTACAGATGATTGTTCGGACGAACGAGTAAAACGTCCTTAAAACCGGATATATGCACAGGTAAATGTATCTGGCTTTAAGGACCAGTACCAATACACTGGCTATATATACAGGTGTGCCTGCCGGTATACCTTATCGTATGAATGACAGAATTATCAGTATTTTTATTTCGTCATACACGCAATCAGGTATGCATACACGCTTAATAAATAATAATTTAAATACTGTACGTTGAATTTAAAATATTTTTAAATATTAATAAACGTTTTAATATTATTTTTAAATGTGATTTGTACAGATGATGCTAAAAAAATTATTACCCAACCATTTCTTTACCGTTAAATTTTACGCTTTTCTTCACTGAGCAGTTTATTTTTGAAGTTTTTAATATAGTACAAAGTTTTATACAATTTAATAATATCATTTAATTTTATTAAGAATTTCCTTGTGCAGTTCAATAGTTAAAATATAAATAATCTACGTCGCCATTCAAATGTTATCAAATATGTACTGTAATACTTTTCCGTTAAAGTATCATAGAAAGTGGCACAATTATTGGCAGCAAATTTGCATATTAGGAAAATTGAATTTAAAATATTTTAAATTTGGTGGTTAAAGATCGGGGGTGGGTAGATATAGGGTCATCTCGAATGGGGTGTGATTTAATGAAGGTTTTATGCTTATTAGCATTTTAATTTATATATACATCTCGCCTCTATCCTGATAATTAACATTATAGTACTGTATTTCCATTTCAAAATGATCTATATAAATAAAAGTGTAAATGTTCGTTTGTTAAAAATCTCAAATCTCCGAAAGTTCTTAACCGATTGCTTTGAAATTTTGACCCAACGTTGCATTCCAATACACGCGTGTTTTTATATTACAGTATATAGATGTCGAATCTCCCCCGCGGGTTAGAGGGACAGGATTAAGGCTTACCGTGAAGAACTCGGCTTCTATTATACTATTTTAGATGCGGTGTTTTGCGTTTTTGATCGCGTTTTAATATGGTACTGTACGTCAAGAGAATGTACACTAAAAAAAAATTTTTCGAAATTTCCCCCCTCCCTCGCGGGGAGTATTATACATTTATAATAGATACATTTTGACAGCAACGTGTGGCCGGGTATAGCTAGTTAATAATAATATAAAAATAGTTTAAAATAAATAATCACGACAGATTGCGCCACTCAGAATTTTTTTTGCCGGGAAAGTTAGTCAACTTGTTGCTGGCGCTTTTTAATAATTATTTCCCCAATTATTTTGTCCGACTGAACTGACAATTCATGATAAGTATAGTATATAATTTAACTATTTTGGAAATTATATCAATTCAGTATATAGTAGAACGTACCGTACCTGGAACATATCCCGTATCCATTATCACAAGAACTTCCTGGAAGTTTTACATAAACTTCGTCTTTAGATGGAAAAAGTTGTAAGTTTTTAGCGGTTCGGCATGTATGAGTTTCGTTCATACAACAGATATGACATTCTGAATGACGAGTCTTACATTGGCAAGGCTTCATACTGTGATCGAGACAGACGTTGCTTTTGCACTGTCCCTTGTGACACGTTCGAGAATTTTGTCTGCAAGGAGTTCCGTCTGGTTGCATTAAACCGGAACAAAATGAAGAAATTCCATCGCAAAACGTAGTAACATTAAAGCATTCTATGTTACTGAAACATGGTTGTCTTTTGTCATATTCTATGATATCGCAATTGTCGTCACAGCATTGTCCTTTGCTAGGTGAACAAAGCATGCCATTTCTCAGTGTACACTGAGACGGATATTCATTAATTCTGCAACACTTCTGAACAGCTGTGCAATTTTCTGTTGAAGAATCACAATCACACAATTCTCCTTCTTCTACGATTCCATTTCCGCAGTTGGATAACTCTCTTCTCAATAGACACGTTTTTATTCCTAGATCAAAAAACAATAATACATTTATACTATTGTATTAACATTTATAAAAACCTTGAACCAAAGTATGGAATATAATATTTTGTAATTGCTGCAGAAAGATCATTTCGATCCTGAAATAATCAACTCACAAAAACGTTATTAAACGTTTAATAATTGGCAAATATATTAGACACATTAGAGTATCTATATACGAAACGTCATAGAGATATTTGCATAAATTACAAATTTACAGTATTTTAAAGAGTAACAGATGGACAAAAGTATGGACTATTTTGATGATTATTATAATAAAAATTATTGTATTAAAACCAATATACGAAAATGATTAATACTGTTCTGAATAAATTTTGTAACGTCATTATCATAAAGTATAAAATTGAATTGAACATGATAATGGAGTGAATGATGGCCCCAGTTCTGAATTAAGTGAAGATAATAAACAGTTAATAGTTTCGATGGACCTAGAAGGAAAATTACAAATTATAATAGAAAAATCATTAGAATTCTATAAAGGAACGGCTTCGAAAATAATTTCAAGTTTAGAATAATTGAAACTGAAAATTCAACAACAGGTTGGAAGGACAAGATCTACAACCAAGAGTTATGACTGTAAATTAATTAAAATTGTTAAGGAAAACAGATCTTTGTCATCAAACAGCATTAATTCAAAATGAGGAGAAACAATTATCAGACATCACAGTAAGGAGAAGCATAGCAGAAAAATTTTACTATCAAGAAAATGCAAAACAAATCCCTATATGACAAAAAAAAATTTGAAACAGGCTAAAATTCATAAAGACTGGAGTGTTAGTGACTGAGAACAAGTCATGTTCACAGATGAATAAAAAAATATGTATTGTCTATGGTAATCAGTATATTAAAGATAAGATGAAAAATTCTATTCTGACTGATTAAATTTGTTAGCAAAATTTCCTAAAAGTGTAATGATGTGAGGACAAATAACCTGTAGAAAGGTTGATGGAATAGTAACCCCTGTTAGTACATTGAAGACTAATGGTTATTTGGAGTTATTAGAATCTTTGGTAGTTAAAATATTAGAAGATCAATTTGGTAATGAGGATTTCATCTACTAGGATGACAATCAATCATGATAGGGCTAGAAAAATTAAACAATGATTTCAAGAACATAACGTACAGTATTTAGAATGGCCTGCCAACAGTCCAGATATATCTCCGATTGAAAAAGTTTGGAATGTACTGAACAAAATAATCTTTAAGAAAGAACTACAACAATAGAGGAATTCAAGAAGACAGTCAAAGAATCACTGTCACAGGTTGATCCAGAACTGTGTAAAAAAACTGATTTCTACAATGTCGCAAAGGAATAAAGGATGTAATTAGAACAAAAGAAAGCCCTGCAAAATATCAATCATCATTATTCCATACTTTTGAAATGAATATTTTTAATGATTCCATACTTTTTTCAACTCTTACTTTGTTTAAAATGCTGTAATTTTGTAATTTATGCAAACATCTTTACGACGTTTGGTATGTAAATACAGTAATAATAGTTGCCTATTATAAAAGTTCAATTATATGATGTCAGTTTAATTATTTTCTGCAGAAAAATTATTTTTTGCAACAATTACGAAATATGCCATGTTTTTCTTTAGGGGTATTATTACGAATATATTAACTTTTTATTTTACTTAGGTTTCTATAAACTTACTTCATTTTAAAAATAATTTTAAACTGTAAAATATTTAGAAAATTTACTTGATTGCTTTAGGAAGTTCTTTAAAGTGGTTTTGCAACAGGTTGAAAAGTGCCAATTATTCTTAAAAGCACCATACGATATATTCGGATGCATTATATAATTTCCGTGTCGCGGATTTACATGTCCAGGACTGCAAAATTTATTTTTTTCAGGATCGTCTCGGCAAGCGAATGCATGTCCCAGTTGGTGTACTAAATTTAACGGTATTCTAAATCGAGGAATAATTTTTTTGTTTTCTATATTGGTAACGAAGCCAACGTTATTACTCTTTCCTAGCGGTTTCGATCCAGGGCAGATTCCTCCGATCTTATTGACTTTGGAAACTGCGCATTGAGTAGGTGTCCAAAAATCTCTATGAGTGAAGCAAATTAGCATGCAATATGGATGGTGATACTTCGTCAAACTTTGTAGAAATTCCTTATAATCTTTGGTTTCCCTTCCAAAAATATTACCCGGATCATTTTTGGTTTCGAATATGGTAATTTTCTGAACGTTGAATGCGATATCTTCTTTGTCACCGTCTTCATCGAAATCAGTATTTCGGAATATGTAATCGGCAATCTTGATATATAAAAGCATTTCTGAGACGATTTTCGCCTGATTAAAGTCCATGTATTCGGTATATGTATGATCTGCTACGAGTTCTAACGAGCATATTTTCGTTTGTCTGAAAATGAAAATAAAATTTAAAAATTATGTTTATAAGAATGATTAGTAGATCTCAGTAGCGTGCCGTCCAGGGAAGCTGTGGAAGCGCCGCTTCTCTTGTATTTTTTAAAATATAAATACATCTTGTGCGATTATTTTCATATTTTAACGTACTTTGAATTAATTAAAATTAATATTTTATTATAACCGCATTATGTATCTTATTACAAATTTCTATACTGTATGTGAAATAAATGATAAGATATTGATTGCCATTGTATATTCGAATATAAATTCGTATATGCACATTCTCAATGGAAGCGCTGTATTGTCGAGTACAGGACAGCTTCCACGGATAAAATGTTTGAATGGTGTAAAGCAGCCAGATTATACGCATTCACTTTACAGAGCACCTACCTCAAGCGGTTTATCTCGTGGATGCTACACACCAAAATATCGTATAACGCTTCCAATGATTCTATCAGGGCCGGCACACTTCCCAATCATCAGCTGTCTTCGCACACCACTGGTAGATCGAAAAAGTGCATCTTTTCGTGAATCTCGTGACCCACCGTACACGACTCTGGTGTGGAGAAGAGTCACAACAGATGAACTTTCTCTATTTACTTTATACTGATGAAAATTATATTTATTGATTTCTTATTTTTAAATTTATTTATTTTACTAAATAATATTACTCTACGTACTGTACATACTTGACAATTTATCAAATAACATGGGATTTATTTAAAGAACAATGGTTTCTGGCTAAATATAAATTTTTTATTTTCGAAATAAATAAAATTGTTTCGTTTAATATTTCGGGGTGTTGTAATGATAAAAAAAAGGAAATTTCTCATGGTAGCTTGTGTGTAAGGGACAATAAAAAAAATTAAATTTTGGTGGCGAAAGATCGAGGATAAGGAGATAAAGAGAGGTGTTACGTCTCAAATGTCGAGAGGGAACGGATGTAATGCAGAAGTTATTAGCATTTACTGTATAGCTTTTTTTAAATAAAAGCTATCACTACCCTCAGAATTAAACCTTTTGTCATTTTATAATAATAAAATACATAACAATTTTTTATAACAATATTATAACAGATAGAATCATAAAAATTTTTAGTTATTATAATTAAAAATATAATACTGTACTTTTAACAGTCGGAAAGTTACGCAACTCATTGCTGAATTATTCATATATGCAGAGAATAGAAGATAAATGATTTTAAATTTATGATGCATAGTTATATATTTAATATAACAATATTATTGTTCAAATTTTAGTATTTAAAGAGATATCAACGATATAAAAATTGATACAAATAATGTTTTAAGATTCAAAATTTAAGTAAAATATTATAAACTCACCTCATTCGTAAGTTGTTATTGAAGAAATTATAAATTTGTATTTTAGTATCAACATGATAATTTTCTTGGTAAGTTTTCATTTTAAGATATTCTTCATGTCTTCTTGCTTCACACATTAATTTCCCATCTCGATAAGATGGTCTTAACTCTATGTCTTGGACGTTATACATAATTGTATGTTCATCTTTCTCGTCAAAAGAATATTCGTTCTGTGGTCCAATGAAATATGTGCTATATAAATGTTGAAATATTCCTATAAATTGATTTTCATAAAAATAACCAATAATAAAGGATCCATTTTCATTTTTTAATTCTCCTTGGTATATAGACGTTCCCGGCATTTCAGAAAGAGTATATGTTTTAATTTTATCGTCTACGTAGATAAATACTTTAGCTGCTGCAAGAAAGTTGGATTTATCCTTTTGTAGACGAAAACGAATTCTGTAGGATATTCTCGGTATCATTATGATCATACCTTCGGAAGTCGGTTTGAATGTAATTACTTGCACGTTTTTTAGTTGATAATTATTAGTTTCAATAGTAGATTCTATATCAGCCATAATTCGAAAAACGATCGATATTAGGGATAAAATGAATAAATTTTGACGCATTACGAAAAATTGTCAAATTGTCGACTTACGTTCGAATTTATTAGCGCTTCGAACAGAACGCGTTTAAAATATTTCGAATACGCAATTTAAAATTAAAAAAATTGAGTAATTAAGAAAATACTGTATTGAACAGAAACGTACTCGGCAAAATAATTAATCAAGTAACGAACACCTTATTCTTTGCCAAGGGAGTTTATTAAAAACTAACGTTTTCGATCTTTAACGTTAAAAATAACGTTTTCATGAGGATGATCTATGGAGTAGATCGAAAACGTTAGTTTTTAATAAACTCCCTTGGCAAAGAATAAGGTGTTCGTTACTTGATTGAAAATACTGTATTTATAAAAATTTATTACGACAGTTTTCTACGAAGTAAAGTGTGAAAATGTAGTGCAAAATTTATTTATTCGAAGTGTTAAAATTACAAACGTAGCAACAGTAGAAAAAAAATTTAATTCCTTCGCTTTTAATATATTAAATTGCATGATATCTCTAAATTCTGTCCACCAGTGACGGAGTGGATAAATCCCCTGACACTGTTCTTAGATTTGCGCTTTGAACTTCGCCAAAGTGCAGTCCGTAAAGACTTTTTCGGATTTTCAACACGAGTCTAAAGCAAAATTTAAGTTCTTGGTTGCAGCAAAACCTTAAAGCTATTATATCACTCAAATAGGGATTAGTTTTCCGAAGAAAAATCCTTCAGGAAGACTGATCGCCAAGGTGTTGCGTTGTCTTTTCACAAATATACTTTGTGAAAAGTACGGTATACTGTAAAAAATACTGTAAGGTCTCTTTTTATGCGAATTATTTTTATGCGATTTTGAAATTGTGCGGTTTGTATTTCATCCAAAAATTTCTTGGACAAACATACATATAGGCTTGTTTAGGAAGCCCGCGTATAGACAGTCTCCAAAAATCGTGGAACGCTCAAAGCTCATTCCATTTGTTCCACTGACATATAACGTTTATGGATGTAAAGGACAGCTAGATCTACCTTAATCGCTTTAGTTCCTAGCAATTTTTGATATAAATGTAATTAAACATAAAAAATACTTAAAACTGAAAAAAACAAAAGAAATGCGTTAATTTTGAAGAAAAAGCTTCAAAGTTTAACTTCCTTTGTCTCGCCCTTCTGTGAAATTTAACACCGATGAGTCATTGTTTACACATCTGGATGACCTTGAACACAGCTGGAGTTGGATTTCCCGGGGCATTCTCATAGACGTCGCGGGAGGACAAGGGTTTAAAGTAGGGTGAACACTAGCTGGCCGTATATTTTTAAATATTTTTAAAAAATTTGGAGACTTAAAAAACATTCCAAAAATTCAAAAAAAAAATTTAAAAATGGCCTTAAGGATCGTGTTTTATGTAACACTATGTAACCTGCCCGAGTTAACTCGGGCGAGGAACTAAAGGGGTTTTAATTAACTCTTCACATCCAGATGTCAGTGATTTGTTTTTAGAGTGAGCTTTTGCAATTCGGGGATTCCCCTTGTACATGATACTTACCATCGACAAGTCGCTATTACATCATTCTGAGTTTCGCATTGAAAGGTATAAACTGTAATTGTTTTGAAATTAAATTTTATTTTAGCGGTGTTTTGTTCATTTTTATAATAAGTAGCGAGTTTAAATTTTGCTGATTTCAAGTTGCAGTAATAAGCAGCCTATTTCTTTTAATTTCTGCAAACTTTTTTATGCGGTTTTAAGTTAATTTTAACTCGTTGTTTTGGTTTTATGCGATTTTAGAAAATTACGGAACGTATCCCTACTTTTTCAAGGCAAGTAAAGTCTTTTTTTATGCGAATTTTTTTTATGCGCTTTTCTGTAGAACGTATCCACCGCATAAAACGAGACCTTACAGTATTGAATTTTGCATTGAACATATTGAATTTTTCAATACTTTTTGCATGTTATCATACATCTCTTCTACTTGATGAAATGAAGAATTATGGATTGAAAGATTTAGTTCATTTTTAATTGTCACTTTTACATTTTAAAATTTTATCAAAGCAGTTTACTGTTTTATTTAAAAAATAACTGAAATATATCAATTTTAAAAAAATAAATAAGATAATTACAAATACTTTCAATATATTTTTTATCTAAGCGTACTTTTTAATTTACTATATTTCATTAAAAAATACCAGATAAATTTCTATTAAAAATATGCTGAATAGAATGCATACAGATATGGAAATACATTTTATTTTATGATTTTAATATGTAAAAACATTAAGATTTATCCAAGGAATAATTAATTTGAATATTTCTTTTTTCCTTTTTTTTGTTCACGTTTAATTGAATATTTAAATTTACAAATTTAAATTTACAAATTTAAATTTAATTTTGTATAGTTATTTGAGATTTACAGGAATGTAAAATTGAATATGAAGTAATTTTAATTATGTAAAATTGTTAAAAACGAAAACAAAGACATCAAATTACATATTACTAGAATCTGTGTTTGGTAAATTGTCTTGTATTGAGTTTACATAAGAAGAATTAACTGATCGAGCTTTAAATCCGATTATCCTTTTTCATTTCAAGAACAGAATTATCTGATTCGAATCACTATTCTAACAACTGGGTTACTTTAACGCACTTTCTGCAAATAAGTTAACCTTCTTTAAGTGGATAAGTGACAACACAGAATAGTCTTCTGCTCTGAATTAATAACGGGAAGAATGACGTCACGTTATCCTAAATCAAGTTGCCTTCTGTATGAACACCATTAGATAAACCTTACCCCGATTAACTTCCGTCATGTAACTTTTATTTTACCATTATTTACTGTTCATTTTATCAAGTGAGTGCTGTACTACATGCAGTAATAGAGCGTTAACATTTTTATGCAAACAAATGTCTATCATGCAATCTTTGTCGATTCTAAACAAATCGTTTGTTATACTCTACGGATATCGTCATACTTATAAGTAAGTATATCTAGACGGTTCACATTAGTCTCGGAAAATATAAGGTAGTTTTGTAGACATTAACGACACTATTGGCAGATAACCGAATTAATCAAAATTGCCCGATTGGGCTATAATTTGAAAAAATTGTAGATCTATAAATTTCCACTGTCATACGTCTGTCTGTCTCTCTGTTCTTCCTTAATCTCGAAAACGATGTTAGATAGATGAAAGTCGAGACTAGAAATGGAAAGAAGTCGAAGGCCCTGATGCATGAACTTCCAGTTCGGATTGGAAGTCACGTTATTTCAGTTCAAATTTTATTCCGAAAGGAGTTAGATGATTGGCACGGATTCTATTGCTAACAGGAAAAGTATGATGTACAGAAGCAAATTGAGCAAATCACTACTAATTTCAGGTGAACAACATATATAAATTTGCAGTCCGGCATTGTGACGATGACACAATAAATAATTGTTCGTATTACGTGTAAGATCACATTCGTTTCATATAGAAATTGGATGCTTTAACGTCAAGTTGACACGTCTCTTTATATTTACAAGGAACGAGTATAAAAAGTGAGATCTAATTGATGTAAATGAATACACTTTCTGGACGAGAGGAGCAAGCACGTAATGTTATTAACGTGTGCATCTTATTGCTACGTAATACCAAAATAATCGAGGTTTTAATACCGTTTTATTAAAATAGATGACGATGTAACATATAACATCGCTTATGATAATAATTCATCAGTCTTCATCAATGGGTAACACACAGCGATCCTTTTAAGTGACAAGATGATGATAACCTAAAGTTAATTATACATTAGTTTCTAATTAATTGTGTTCTTTCTGTTGGTCGTTTATGGAACATGATAGCTTGTTTTAAAGTTTCGTCAACCTTACGGCGTTATATTGGATATTGTATTATTAAAAATAATACAATATCCAATTGGAATTGAAAAATTGGATATATAAATTTACATCGTATTAAATAATAGCTCTTTCCTCTAAAATATAGTTTTATCAATCTTTAAAGAAAGTTAGAAACTTAACGCGAAAACAATGACAATTGTGGAAATTGACCAATAACCACTGATACTTGAGAACATTTTTCTTAGTTATCTTGTATTTTCTTATGTTTTATATCCAAAATATTCGGTAAATTCTCAAGGGAATGAAGAATTTTGATTTCAATGGAAAAGTTTTTCCGTTAATTTATAAACCATACATTCTTTTACAATCTTGGTAATATCTTTAAATATTTACACTGCTGGAAAATGAAATCGTACACTTGTCTCACTTTTCTTCCACATACAATTAAATTACATTCCAGTTTCTTTAAAAATGATCTAGCGTTCTTGATATTGTCAGTAAATACCTAGGAACTCTGGTCATACAGCCCCAAACAAGCACATCACCACAACCTAGCATTATTGAAGGAACTAAAGTTTATTTAATTCTGTATTCGGTTTCGTCTCCATTAGACGAAAATTAATTAAATATGATTTAATCGAAAAATAATTTATATTTTTGTGTTCTATTTTTTCGTTCGTGTTATCTAAATCTAGGCATTTAATTCTATTCTGCTCACTCTAGAGAATTTTTTACGTCCTTCTCTACTTTTGTATGCTTTCCCGATCAGTTATCTTCACATACACTTTTTAGATGCTACGATCAATGCGCTAATTTTAGAATTTTCTTCAATAACTACTGCACTTCTTGAGAATCCTCGTGTTTTTGGACAGCATGAACGGTACATAATCTTAATTTACAATCATATTTTCTTATTTCTTAAAGTAACTCTCTGTGTTATTCGAACGTACTGAGTTTCTTTGCTTTTACACTTATTTCCAAAATTTTAAGGCTTTTGCGGGCCCAATCTATGAAGAATAGCCAAGTAACGCAACGCAATGTGCCATGTCGTAGAAAAATATTAAATAGCGATTCGGAACCAATTTCTTTCCGAACAAATATTAGCAGAACCAGTCGCAAATAGTAATTTAAACTAGAGATAACTCTCCGATATATTTATATTAACTTTTTATAATTTAATTGGCAATTATCTGATTTGAGCATGCGTCAGGAGCGTCGGAAGCGCAGCGCTTACTACACGCGTATGTCCATTGTTACCTTAACAATTAATTTTAATAATACTAAATTTAATAATTTAATAA